TTTACCACGTCTATTATGCAGAATTAAAAGAGCAATAAACAGATCATTCTACGTGAGCAGGGAGAAAAGTTTGTTGTACAAAGTCTGGTCTGACTTTTTTTTTGTTTTTTTTCCAAACGATCTCTGGATAGTTACTTGTATAGGAGTCAAATTATCACACTGACCACAATGGTGCTTTTGGAACATCACAAACCAAACTTATTATGAACGGTTTCCCGTTTGGTTACAGTTGAATTTAACGAAACCTCCTGCTGCTCCTCCTGCTGCTCCTCCTGCTGCTCCTCCTGCTGCTCCTCCTGCTGCTCCTCCGCCCGATGCGCAGCATGATCTCTGCTGACTCAGCAGCGGCTCTCTGTACCGACATGCAGACGGCGGCAGAGATCGCCTCTATCAGATCCTCAGGATGAAGCTTGGACTTGGTTTCCAGATGTAGTCAAACCACATCTTTATAAGAGCGTAAAGCTGCCAGGTTAAAAACTTCAATACGCAGGATGACGCTGATCAGTTGGATGGATAAAAAAGCCTGACATCATGACGCGTTGTAACACATTACTCCGGTAGTCTTTTTTTTTAAGGATTTTTTCGGCACTAGTTTATTTGACAACAATCTGACTGTAAGGGGGCAGAGAGAGCGGAGAGAGGCATGGGCCCAGCGAATGGAGGACGGGAGTCGGACTCCTGACTACCGCGGAATAAAGTCTCTGTATGCGGGGCGCCGCGCTACGCCCCGATTGCGGTAGCCTATGCTGTAATTTACAGTTTCTCTTTGTTAAATTATTTAAATTTTTATACAATTTGAGCTTTCTGACGAACTCACCTAGTCCGCCTTCTTTCACTTCCTTGGGAAAATCTGTTTTGTCATGAGATTGCGAATAGTCGACTGGCCCAGAAAAAAGTCATTGCAGAGAAAAGAATCGACTAGTCGACTAATTGGTGCAACCCCCAATTCTGATCTGTACAAACATTTCTTTTTAGGAAAGACTACAGAATCATCATCCTTCTTCAAGCCACAGTGGAATCTTAAACATGGGAAACTTTCTGTTGCGATTAGCGGCGCTCTTGGAGCGGACACATCCCACCCAACACTTGGAGAAACACAGCCCACCATATTGCTGCTTCTCTCCAGGGACTGAGACTTACCTCATTAAAAAGCTCCAGTAAATGGACGTAGTAGGGCTGACCCCTGCATTGTCTTCGAAGGAGTCTATATATTGATGCCTCCACAAGAAAGGAGTCATTTATTGCGTCCAGGCCTATTCCAGTCTTAAAAGAGGAAGAAGAGAATTTTTACTTGTGTGTAAATAAATACATAACAAAAATACATTTTAGCATCCTTTTTTTTAAATGACTTGAGCGCTCACCCTCTTGTACCAGCAGGGCTGTCCTCTCCGGGTCACAGATGCATCCATGATGTCATCTGCCATGAGGAAAAATGCTTGAAGCTGTAAGAAACAGAGTGACAATGCTGAGGCTAGATATGGCAGCGCACAGTGTATCAGAGAAACAAGATTTTACAAAGAGCTCAAACTACATTGCTTTGGAGTTTTTATCCCTAGATGTTTTCAAATTTTGTCTTATTATGACTAAATACTTCTATGCATTACATTGGGGTTTATGTGATAATTAAATACAACAAAGGCAATGGCTAATTTCAAAGTATTAGACTTCAAATCCTTACCATCTCTATGCACCAGCCGACCAACAGAGCTTTCTGCACAGCATCCTGACTGAGCTGGGACGGCGGAAGAAGCTCTCTCAGGGAGCCAATTACAGACAAACCTCTGTTCTTCTTGCCTCCAGGAACATTGTAATCCAAAATCTGAAGCAGAAAGTGGATAATTAGACCAAATCAAAACTACTGGATTTGCAGCAAAGCTCACAAAGTGATAATAAATAAATCTATGCCTCTCTCAGCCTGTTCAAGGCGTCCACCAGCCCAGGATCCTGGAAGTCCCTCTCGGTCAGCTCTGTCACCAGCTCCTCAAACTTGGCATCAAACAGCTGAGGGTCCGACAGCAACGCCTTTTTGTTGTGTGTCCCGTTGCAAACGGTGTCCCCCTGCAAATAGGAGGCAGACAGCATAAATGGCCGACTTTTAAATCTGAACGGAGACGCAACCAACGACATGGCCCGAATGGTTTTAGGTGCATTAAATGCACAGCTCAGCAGCAGGCATCTCATTCTGGAGCAAATTCACTTCAGGGGCAAACTTATTGGAGTCCGTCGATGTGTAGTTTTAGCGGCAACATGACGTTAGAAACTCGTTTCAGTCCCCGGGAAAAGCCATGCTTGCTAGATTTATAATCTCGTACGAACAACACAGAAGGACTGTGATAAAGAGAATTGTAGCTTGAAGTTTAAATTTTCAAGTCAACGAAGTAAGCCTCTGATTTGTGACTTCCGCTACATATAAAGGGTAATTTCATTTGTCCCCCCCGACTAAAATAAATTCACGCTCAAAAAGCGCCACTTTTAGAAATATTTATTCAGGATTCCACTATTCTAAAATTGTGGATTATTTAAAATACAGAATGTGTTCTATAAAATCCTTGTATAAATATTTTATATAAAAACCCAGAATAGTATTAAATATATATATATATTTTATTTTACAAATCAAGAAAGGAGCAAACTTCACAAGTTACATTTTAAACTACACATACTTAATCTACATCAATCCTGTATGAATTTGGCAAGTTTACGTGTTATCAATTTTTAATTTGAAATACTTTAAAGTTCCATAAAGGAGGGAAATATACCTTTAAATCGAAAGTAACAAATCTAAAGCTAACTTCAGCATCGCAAACTGCGTCGCTATGAACTATGGGATAAGTAGATGGTTAGTTTTCAGCTTTTAATCTGTTATCATGCGATGTATCATATAAACTTATGCTTCATTTGATTATATATCTTTACATACCATAATATCTTTGATCTCTTATTCCAAACTGCGCCGTATAGTTGAATAAAAATCAGCTTTTATCTCCTTCTCGCAGACAAACGGAGGTCTTTGAACGCTTCTTCTAACCAGGATATGGAGATTGTAGTTCATTACCTCACCCTAGCAGCTTTTATCTGGAATTATCGGAACTAAATGTCCCAGCATCCCTTGCATATGGGCGAGGTAAGAAAAGGCTTCATCTGACATTAGACGTTTTCATTGGCTGCTCGCATCGAACCAGGATGGGATCTTGTGATGATCAACCAATAGGACCTAAACATGGGCGGAGCTTAAGTGGAGTGGTCAGATTAAATCAAGCATTTATTGCACAGGTGAAATAAAGAAGTAAAATAGCAACCAGTAAAATTGCAGAGTGATTTTACATCATCTCTCTACAAATCTATGATGTTTTTAACCGAGAGTGAGGAGGCAAAAAAATAAAAATAAAAAATTAAATTAAATAAGCCTTACTCCCAATTACTTTTTAGTGTTACATGATACGTCCAAATCCTAGGAGCTTTATAATTGAACAGAGGCTCCAAATGTTTATTCATTCAATTATTAATTAATTTTATGTCAGTCTCCTAAGGGAAAAGTAAACTCCTAAATATATAAAAACGGTGCATAATTTTGGCTTTCTAAATCTTATTTTGGCTTTTTTTCTGCAGAAACTCTTCATTTAGTTAGAATGCTTAATGTTACTTTCCAAATTATTGATCAAACTGATAAAATTTCTATGTTTGTAATTTCTCTTTTGTACCTGCAATTATTATGATAGTGTTGACAACCTCTTACGGAGTTCATTCTAGCAGAAGAGATCTCCAACCTAAAGGGATTTATCATGTTAAATAAAGGTTAAATGAATTATGCTTTATGTTATTTTACTATGAATTGTTGTACAAATCCAGAGCTGTAAAGGTCATGTCAAGCTAATATAAATCATTAAGAAGAACTCTGGTGTTGTGCCATGAATAGTTCCCCGACTGAATCTGACCAATATTTGCCTTTAAACCTTAAGTTTTACATATATTTCATCCTGTAACTTTTTCTTAAACTTGGATATTAGTTTTAATTTCTTTCTTAAATCTGACTTTGACCATGCCACATTTTAAATATTAGTGTGCAATCTCCTACAGCTCTGGTCAGCCGTTTGGGCAGGAATGTCATTATATTTCAGCTTTAAGGTTTGACTTGAACTCATCTTTTTTCAGAGTTGACTTAGAGGATTTAAAAAAAAAAAACAAGAATAGCATGCTTTGTTCATGAATTTGTTTTCTGATACGCACAGGGTCAGAATTGTGCATACAGACACTCCTACACTTCTATTTGCTGAAACACCATTTAACACAGACTTGGTGATCAGAACCACTCTAGAAACTCAATATTAGTTGGATTTATCTGTCGCTAAGCAATTTTTCAGCCAACTAGGTTCTGCTTCTATATTGTTCCACCTGCATTGTAAAATGCATCAGCACTACAGGCAGCGAAACAGACCCTCAGCATGATGCAGCCACCACCATGCTCTTCAATGATTTAAAGAACTGAAAGCCTCTCCTTAATTTGTCCAAAGATACAAATTAAGTAACTGTGTTTCGTCTGACTGTAAAGCTGTTCACCATGACGACGGTGAGCTTATGAACGTACCAATAAATGCGACAAACATGAGTTTCACTGCAGGTGTCTTAAAAATTACTATCTTTCATAACACTTAAACAACAGCAAATTTTTAATTTTTATTTCTATTATTTATTTCATATATTTAAGTACATAACTTGCACTAAAAGTTTTTCTATCCACGCTGCATTTAAATTTCAAATAAGTGTCATATTTAGTGTACATTTATCATTCAGAGTGAAAGGTTTTAGCCAAGTGGGCCTGCAATACAGATGTTTCTTTAAATGAATAAAATTTAATGCAAGACAGGAGGTAGAAACAAATCCCATTGCCTTTCCGAGTGTGTCTGTGTTTTTGTGTTTGCTAGTGTAGATGCATACTTGTACGTTCCCAAAATGTGCCTTCGCTGACGTCAGTGTATCCAGCTTAAAAATTCAGTCTGATATAAATGTGTTTATGCACTTCTAGAGTTTTTTTTTTCTTTTTCATTTAATCATCTTTAAACAACCACTGTACAGCCGAAATGTAACAACACACAGTGCGTATCCAGAACTTCATGATAAATTTGCTGCAAGAGCCTCTCAAAGCAGTTCGCATCTGACAAGGATCGTCCTCCTGTAGCCAAGGTCCAGAGGCGCGTGTGGAGCCACCTGGCAGGTGACTTTGTCCCTGACCTCAACCAACAACTGGCTGCATTGCAGGTCCTGTGTGCAGGAGGAGAAACAGAATAAAGAAGCAAACATGCAGATAAAGACATTCGGAGCAATTGTTACTTAGTTACGTGGACAGGCAGAATCAAATGCACAAGGTTCCCACAGTATTGCAGCAGTAGCAAAAAACATGCACCATTTTGTGTGCATATTACACGCACCGTGGTACAATTCAACCACTGGAGTCATGTCTGTGGCGGCCACTGGTGTCTCTGTAAGGAATGCTGGCTGCTTTGTTTAGGCGAACGCTGCCAAATTGGCAAAAAATAACTCTTAAAATAAAGAGGGAGTGGGAGGGAAGAGTAAAATAAAGCTGATTTAGGATCTTCTTTGTAACAGCATTTGTCCTCAAGTGCAAACTCACTGGTGCATCTTATGGTACATTAAATAGAGGCTTCCAAAAGTATTCACACCCCATTTACATTTTTCATATTTTGTCTTGTTACGACATGAAATTTTATGAATTTTCTGTGACTATTATGTGAAAGACCCAAGACTAACTAGTGTATGATTGTGACATAGGAGGTAAACGATGCATGGCTTCCAAACTTTCCTACAAATAAAAATCTGAAAAATGTGTTGTACAGTTATAGTCATACCCCTAATTATAGTGCAGTTCAACTGTTTGCCTTCAGAAGTCATTTAATTAGTGAATAGAGTCCAACGTAAGTCAGCAGTAAGTAGAGCTGAACGATATGTTGTAAGTTTATCATTATAGCAGCATCACTGTTCACAAGAATGAGTTTGAAAGAAAAACAAAAAAACAACTGGATCGCCTTCTAGTGCCATGCATTGAGGCTCTCCATGACAGTAGATTTATTTGGTGTTGTATGTTGTTTACAGCAGAAGAAAATGTTTTAAGGGGGCATTAGGACATTCTGGTAAAGTAATTAAGAAACGTCTTCCACTTGTTTATTTGCCAAAACAACACATATAGGCCAATTTGTGATTTTTTTTTCAAGCATGTTTAATTTTGTTCCAGTAGCTGGATAGAGAATTTCTTATCTGTAATTTATCGTTTCTATAAACCCAAGGCCAGAAAATCCTAACACTGATAAGCTAACAGTTTATTTATCCACAATCAGTAAACATTATCTATGTTCTGCTCTGCAAAGGCCTCAAAAATAGGAAGTGTTCGCAGAATTTCACAAATTCTCCACATCCAATTTGACTAAATTTGGGCAATTTTGCAACAATCAGTGGGGAAGCTACAATTTCAGTAAAAGGCGGACCTACAAAGTGCTGACTTAGAGGCACTGATTAATAGTACACTAGACTCTTCAGATTTTCATCTGAGGAAAAAAGAATTATTGGAGTTCAAGGTATGAATACTTTTGAGAGACACTGTATTCAGCTGACTGCTTTTGGTGGTACTTCTCTTAATATATATGGAAGACAAAAATACGGATTTCCTCATTCTCGTCACCTGAGCAAAGAAGTGGTCTAACAGCAATGTAGAAAAAAAAAAGATGAGAAACAAATTGGAACCCATAAATGCAATTGTACTGTAAATGGTCATTCTCTTCTGATCATTGTTCTCCTTGTTCGTAAAGAAAGCCGGAGCTCTGCGCTGACGTTCAGTCTATCAGAAGCACCTCTGAAGTAAAGTCGTTTTCACAGCTGACCTCTGGAAATGGAGGCGACGAAGAGAAAAAGGGGGGAAGACTTTTGAAAAATAAATTCTGAATGTTTTCACGTTTGCCAAAATCGTGCTGTCTTGTCTTCCTCTTTCCTCCTCCGCCCTCCTTTCCTCGTCACAGCGCAGACTCTGAATAGAGAGCTCCAGATGACCCGTGAGGCGCATGAGGCGCCATCAATCGACGCAACGACGAAGTGGAAGAGCTCAGATCTCCACAGCTGCGCAGGTGGATCCCTTCTGGCGCTCGACTGCTGTAGTGCCGGTTGTGTCTACTGTCGCTATGGGAGTGGTGATGTCCCCGGCGGTGAGGGTGATGGGAGTGAGCGTTGGGGTGTCCGCGGCTGGTGCTCCAAGGGGTCCGCGACACCTGGAGGTAATTTAATAAATCTGTAGATGATCTGGAGGCTGGAGATGCTGAACAAGTGCTAAAATTGGGTTAGAGTTTGGGTGTCATACTTGCTCAGAAGACAGGTGGTTAGAGCCAACCGTCTCAACTCCACTTCTCCTCTTTGGCCCCTGTCCTGTGCTCCCAGCATGCTCAGAGGGTGGCCCCAGGTTACGTTTGGAGCGCTGCAGGAAGCGAGCCACCAGAACTCGGGTAACCTTAAAAAAAAAAAAAAAAAAAAAAAAAAAAAAAAAAAAAAAAAAAAAAAAAAAAAAAAAAAGCAAGGAAAATAATAATGTCAGAGCTTGGTGGGGTTTTTTTTTCTTCACTTTTGGTACGTAAGAGATACCTGATTTACCTTCAGGTCTCCTAGAGAGCGGTGGCAGTCTTTAGGTATGCATATAGGTGAGGTGGGTGCAGGTTTAGGGGGGATTTGCACACTTGTGGCTGCTGTCTTAATGCCACCTTTACTTGGCAGAGCAGAAGGAGGAGCCACAGAAGAGCGAGGCAACAAACACGCTTCGGAAGATGGAGCTTTGAAGTCGAAAAAGGACAGAAATTGTAGGTGTTACGTTCTACAATGAGAGCACGCACTCGCCTTCATATTTACCAGGTACACCAGTTCAATTGCTTGTTAAGGCAATTGATGAAACAACCAATTACATAGCTGTGACTCAGTGCATTAAAGACACGTTGAAGAGAGTATTTTTCTATTATTTTTTAAAATTTTTATTCAGGACCTCTGATTATGATTTTATTTCCTAAGCATTTCTTCATTGCCAAATTACGCCAAAAGATTTGTCTCTTCCCTCAACTTTAAGACTGTGTGTTTAATACACGATCTTTTTCTTACTTATAGTCAGGAAGGTATCCTAAGCAGTGGTAAGAAGAGTGTCTGTTTATGCAAGGTGTTTTTGTACGATTAATAAACTTACAAAAACAAAGTGAACTTAATAAGTCAAGTTCACTTTGACTTGTTATGATTCAAAGCGAACATGGGAGACTTTAAACGTTGCGTGGTTGTTGACGCCAGATAGGCTGGTCTGAGTATTTTAGAAACTGATAGAGTAGGAGTTTCACTCAAAACCATCAGAAAATGGTCTGAAAAAGATAAAAAAAAAAACAACAACCACTGGGCAGGAAAGGTATGAAGGAGAAGAGTCTTGTTTGTATCAGAGGTCAAAGGAAAGTGGGAAGTTGCAGCAGCAGAAGACCACACCAGTTAGCACTACTGTTAGCTCGCAAAAATCAGATAATAACAAATTGAAAAAAGCATTCTCTGGTCTGATGAGTCTCAATTTCAGCTGTGACATTCAGATGGTGGAGTCAGAATTTACCATAAATAACATGAAAGCACGGATCCATCTCATGTTACCAAGGTCAAATCATCTCAACCTGCTTTGAACATGACAATGACTGTGGCCTCCACAGCCGCCAGAACCTGATCCAATAGGGCACCTTTAGGATGTGGTAGAACAGGAGATTTTCCTCTGGATATAAGCTCTTACCTGTGTCTGTAGATGCCTTGCTGCCTCCGGACCCAAAGTCAACTGGAACAAAAAAGGGGGGGAAAAAAAGCATATTTTTGTCCTCACTGTAAAATTGGAGTAAATGTTTTCTCGCTAATGCTCGCCTCACCTGTGTCTGTTGAAGAGCCGAGGCCTGGCTCACTGTGCGACCGCACAAGGCGTAAAAAGCCTTCACTCTGTCTTCCAACGGTCCCTCCATGCTTGTCACTTCTCTCAGCCCTTCGTCGGAGGTAAAGGGCCCCGTGAGGAGGGAGCAGTCTGTTTCCGTGCTCACAGGCTGCTGAGGAAGACGATGGAGGGGGAACAGATGAGGCCGGGGCAGCTTCCTGGTTTGAGGGGTCGGTGAGGTTCACCTGAATCTCTGGGATGAAACGTTGCTGTTGATTTGGTGAGTTTCCTATTGCTTCCAGCTGGGAACAGCTGCTAGCTAACACAGCCTGGCGGTGCAGCACAGGAGACCTGGAAAACGGACTGGGAGAGTTAAAATTTCTCCTCAAAACTTAAGGAGGAATTTGAACTTTTTGGAGCCTTTTCTCACCTGTATGTATTGGTAGCTGTGCTAGGCGAGGAGCAGGAATTAGACCGTTCCCCTCTGAGGAACCGTCTTGCCCTCGGCCCTCCTGCCAGCGGGCTCTCTGGTGTTTGACACTGTGGACTGCGGAAGAAGCTGTCGCCCCTGTCAGCACAGGTCCTGTTGCCCCCGTGGCTCCTTATCCCAACCTCCATCAAACAGGAGTCTTCAGACGGGGAGGAATCATCAGGGATATCCACAATCTCTGACATTAACAGAGAACCACTATCCATAGATACTAACAAGAAAAAACAATATGTTTTTCTTTATTATTCAGGAAAACCCTTGAATGTACACTCAGGTTTTACAATATTAAATGTGCCATCTTGTTTGACATTTCCTACCAGTTTCTCAAATGTATCTACATAAAACTGCAGATTTCATCTAAATCTTCACCTTTATTTTTGAGTGATGATATATTAAATAATTTAACACTAAATTACTTTCTAAATATTAATAACCATTAACCTAAATAACATTCCCAGTTAAGAAAAAAAATATTAAATGCCAGTCATAGTTTGTACTATTACTGAAGCAGCTTTATGCTTCATTTTTAAATTGTCCTTAACCAGAAGTAATAATATATCTCACATTTCCAACTGTTAGCTAAAGAAGCTAAAGGCACATTTTACATTGGGGTTATACAGAAACAAAACGTTACACATTATTATTTATATTCCACAGCACAATGAGGAGAGTCATCTATTAAAGGTGAAAATGCAGAACCAGTGGCCAGCCCTGCTTGCTTCTGATTTCCCCACCCCACATCTGAGATGATGTTCTTGAGTTTAAGTGGTTTTAATGAGACTTGGCTGCTTGGTGGTTTGATGTCTAGGAAATGGAGCAGAAGCATTTTCCTTAAAAAAAACATCCAGCTCAGTTTGAAATTGTAGGAGAATGTGCTATGGTCATCGTTGTGTTGGACAATGACTCCAAAAAGTTAAAAAAGTTGACTCAAAAACAATACTGAGCATCATCATGACATCCATAGTAAAACATGGTGGTGGCAGCGTCATGCTCTGTGCTTACTTCTTCTCATAGAACTGGGGCTTTGAGTTTTGGTGGGTTAAATTCTTAATGGTGATACAGTTTAGTTTTGCCTCCAATCTTCCAGGTATCTGCTAGAAAGCTAAAAGGCGAGGAGAGATTTTATTTTTGAGCATCTCTATGAGTCCAGGTATACAATTTTTATGGATGACTTCGTGGGAGAAAAATACTAATGACCATGTCATATTTCACATTTCTTTTTAATAAATTTGTAAACATTTCTACATTTTTCTGTCTAGATGGTATGACCAGTGTACATTCATAAGAAATCATTTGAGCTTTTTTTAAATATCATTATTATTTTAGCAAATGGCTCCAATGAAAGACAGAGAGTGAACATTTTAAAGGGGTCTGAAAACTTCCTGCACTCACTGCATGAGAGCAATATAATCTTGCGCTTCTATTGGTTTTGATTTGGGATTTTTATTGGTTGCTGTTTGAATATCAAAATAGCAAAAGAGCCATTTCTAGCTTATAATGGGCTTTCACTGTTTTTCTTTAACGTTTTGTCTTCATTTACATCTTGAATGCAACTACACGACTCCATTTACCTACATACGCACTTGACACAACATGACAGACAAACTGCATGACTGCACCTTCTCCGCTAAAGGCTGTAGAGGTCCCTCTCTCTCCAGACAGCTCAGTACCATGGGCGTCAAACACGGTTGCCTTGACAATCACAAGAGACAAGGATCAGGACAGTCAAAGGATGTATTACACAAAATGAAGAAAGATGCTGCAGAGTGACGTACAGAAGCTTAGCACTGCCCAGTCACATCTCTGTTATTCTGAATATTTAAATGTACCGTTTTCCTAAAAGCTAATGCATAAAACATTATTTTAATTGAGCAAAAAATATTATTATTTTCACTTCATTTGTGAAATTCAGTCTTACATGATTGCCATCACAGTTTTCTTTGTCTTATGAGCTTTTTTGGGGGGAGAAAATTGTTGTTCATCTTAATCGGCATAAGAAGTAAATGGATTATCATTCATTTCTAAAACTAAATCTAAACAGGCCAAATCCAATTACTCCCACTCTTTAGTCTTAAGTCATTGTTTTCTGCATGTTTAAACCAGGGAGTTTGTCTTGTAGGTATTTTGTATAACTTACTGGACACTTTCAGGAAGTGGGTTTTATAAGGAAGTGACTTAAGATGTATCTTCAAGGATTTTACATGGCACTTTCCCATATTTTAGGAAAGTACACTGCAGGTTCAGGAAAGTACATACAATTTTTTTTAAAAAGTCCCAAGTAAGTTCCTGAAGTTGCCTTACAAGTTCCTGCAAAGTGACAAATAGATTCCAGGGAAGAACCTGTGAAGTACTCAGTAAATTACAAGACAAAGTTCTGAAAGTTATCTAATAAATGTAATAAAGTACCTGATACAATCCTAGAAAAAAGTAAGCAGTAAGCTAAAAAAAAAAAGTTCTGGGAAGTACTTGGGAAGTTCTATGACCTGGTAAGTCTTTGAGTTCCAGGGACATTCCAGGAAAGTGTCTGGTTAGTTCACTATAGGTTCCAGGGAAGTATCTAGTAAGTTGCTGGAAAATACCCAGTTAGTTTCAAGAAAGTTGCAGAAAGTACTGGGATAATTCCTTCAAAGCTACTGTGAAGATCGATCAGAGTTCCCAGTAAGCTCATTCGTTGCTCTATCATGCACCAGCATCCCTGTTATTTAAATCCATTTCATCTGCTAACTTTTGTTCTTGTCAAAATTAGGTAATGTTTTCTTCCCTAAATATCTGTAGCAGGAGTAATTCTGAGCAAATGTCTGCGTGTACCCAGCGGCTCACCTGGCTTGCAGCTCTTTGGCCCATCACAGTTTCATAGGGAGGAGGGCAGTCAGTGGGGTACAACGGGACAGGACTCTCCATGGAGCCATTATAGGTGATGCTGGATGTTGATGCAAACACGTTAATCGTTCTTTAAAAGTGTGTGTGACATTATAAACACAATGGCTATTACAGAACACACAGATTGATAATATCACAAAAGTACTGTAGCACCTCTGAGCGTCTGTCTCTGAGCTGCAGGTGTATTCAGGGGGGTAGTAGGGAGGAGGAGGGATGGGGGGCACAAACTCCTCAAAGTCCATGATGTTGGTCAGGAAAGCGTCTTGCGGAGTGGTGCATTCTGGGTTGACTGAGCGGGAGCGATGAGGGGCGAGCTGAGCGGTAACCACAGAGGATGCATTAAGGTTTCGTTTGTGTTTAAAACTGATACCTTGAATTCCGGATGTGACTCTGCTGCATTGTAAAAAAAAAAAAAAAGATCAGCCACTTAAGTGAAATGTGCTGCGTCAGCGCGCTCACCAGGTGCACAAGATCCAAGGAGAATATGTGTATACTGCAAGTCACAGTGGACAGCGTACAAATGATGGTGGAGAGAATGCTGAGACCACACGCACTGAACAGGAGGTCCTGCACAAAAAAAACGGCATTCATAAAAATCTCAACTCAAACATTTTTTTTGGGTAATTCGTCTGCTATATAACATTTAAAATGTAACACTTTATGCTTACATATGTTTCCTATGTCAAGGCAATTTTGTAGGGTGCTAAGCTATTTTTGGAACATTGGTAAATATGTGTAAATACCCCCAAAACAAATAATATGTAGTTAACACTGAAAATGTTTTATAAATGTTAAGAAGACACTTTTTAAAAAAACTTTCCTAATAAGTAATTCATGTCTTTCTGTTTCCATAGGATATTGTTATGATGCAGTAGACATTATGCATATGATCATTTCTCTCAGTCAAGCTTAAAAATTGGAAAGACGAGAAAGCGTGAAATTACAATTATGCTGCAAAAAAATTACTTGTCTATATAGTCAGTGAGAACAACAAGTAAGTTTGAAACAAAAATTGTGACAAGCAAAGCTGCACCAAGAAGGGGAAAAAATGATTTCTTCCCCAACATCTCAAATGCTACTGGGAGTTTAACTGGAACTGTCAGCTTCGGTCGGAGGAAACCGTAATCGACTGGGACATCTTTGATATATTAAGAGACAGAGCACAAAACTCTCTCCTGGGTGAGCAGAGGTTAAGAGAACATAGAAGAGGCTCCAATATTCCAGATGATCCAGAGAAAGTGTGCAACAAATGTCTGTCTCACTACGAGGTCCAATATTTTTCATATATTATATAAGACTAAAGCACAGTCTATTTTTATGCTGGAATACATATTTTTATTTTAAGCTTTTCCTCCCCCCCACCACACACTTTTGCCAGGAATAAATGTGCAGAGTACAGTGCATACCTTTAGCTGATGTTTGAATGAGTGACAGTCACCATTCTTGGACAGAACCAGGGTATCCTCATTCGTCATGGAGCAGGCTAGATTGCCTGGACAGCACACACAGAGACCATTCTCCACCTACACACATTATCATACAGAGTGAATCACAGTAATGCACCGATTGGAGCTCTTTCACATTATTCAAATTATTCCTGGCTCATTCCTAATGCATCTGCTTGGAAGGACATTTCAGCACAAGGAAGACGGCAGTTCTGACATACCTGGCAGGTGTTCATTGACTTGACCATCTGTGCGTTCTGACACGAGAGCATTGAGCCGGCCAGGCTGAGGATCACACACACTGCAGACAGCAACATGAACAGTGACACCTGTGGAGGGATGCGGAGGCCATGCTTAATTTAGAGCGGGTTATTAAAACTGCCTGCGACCAGGCAAGGAGAACAGATGACGCTAAAGGACACAAAACCAAATTTCACTGTTTATTTTACAAAGAGGATGAAACAGTCAGTGGAAAGGTGAAGAAAGAAAACATCCTTATGCAAGCCTAACATGCAGTAAGCCTAACTGCATGTTAGGCTACATGTTATCTTTTTTCAATATATTAAAGCTTAACTGACTCTTTGGTAGAGTGTTCCACTAAAACATTATGCATTTCAAATCATTGTGATGGTTTCTAAACTGGATTAATTATCCTGCATAATGAATTAATAAATTATGCAGCACATTTAAAGCTGCAGTATGTAGCTTTTATGAAAAATGTTTTTGTTTTAAATAAAATTATCATTATGTCGTGATAGTATAAGATCAACAATATATAAGAAAAATTGAGCCCCTCTGCGCACCAGCAACCCTCTCGACCCCACTAAAGGACAAGGGTGTAAAGAAAATGGATGGATGGATGGATGGATGGATGGATGGATGGATGGATGGATGGATGGATGGATGGATGGATGGATGGATGAGTCCCTCTGCCTTCTTCCTGTGGTAGCTGCAGAAATACACCATTCAGTGAGAAACAATCAAAATCAGGGGGAGGGTCTTAGCGCTGTCAATCACTCTCATGCTCACCCTTAAAGTCTTTGTAGGTTTTCCCTGTATTTTCCTAAAAACATGATTGTCCTTTAATTAGCTCAATCTTTCTTCAGTCGACTCTGACAAACTTCCTTGACCTTATGCTGCCTCATGCATTCATACATAACATTTTGCGTAGCATAATATTTTCTCTTTCAACACACACACACACACACACACACACACACACACACACACACACACCCCCACACACACACACACACACACACACAGGATCTCTGTTGCTTCTGTGATCATGTTCTCCTTTGGGTGCTTGTATACTCTTTCCCCCCCCCCAGTTATGATGAAAAGTTGTTTAAATGCAGTGAAAACATACCACCAGTGTTAGAGGTCTTCTCCATGAGATTATTCCCACTATCCCTGATGCCACCACCTGGTGACAAATGCAAACATAAAACACGCACAACTTACAGTCAGCTTGGTTTCGTTTAACAAGCTTTGGCTACAGTCATACTCACAAAGAAGCCAGCCCAGAATGGACAGGACTGCCGGACGCGCGCGGATGAGGTGAAGGCCATGCTGGTGAAAGAGAAGGCCAGAACCATGGCTCCCAGCCCCAGGTGGCACAAACCCAGGTAGAGCAGCAGACGGGCCCCACCGGGCCCCCTGCCTGACATGCCTCTGCGACTGTCAGACCAACCGCGAGATCCAGAGGCAGAAGCCACGCTGCTGGAGTCTGAGGGTGAAGGCATGGTTGGCTTGTCTCTATATGTGTGTGTGTGTGTGTGTGTGAGTGAGGAGGATGGGAAGATGTTTACTTGTGCACTGAGTTCATATAACAAACTGTGTAGGCAGAAACACAAAAGAGCAGAGGAGGAACTGGTGTAAATGCTGGCTTAACGGTGTTATAATTCATGCATCAAGCTGACCCCCTGGCAGGTGCAATGGTTCCTGCGTAATGTCCAGACCGGTCAGTGAGTCCAAGAACTTGATCAGCAGAAAGCTGAGAATCGAGCAGCCCCTCCACACAACCACAGCACTCACCCCACTTGACGTTTGAGCTCTGCTGCTGCTGCTGCTGCTGAGACAGTTAGAGTCGACGCAGCGTACTCTCAGTCCATGCAGCGCAGAGTACACCTTGTGCCACTTTCCTGTTCAGTCCGAGTAAAACACAACTTTAAAGCCGAGTAAAACATCGACTCGGCTCGTTTTAAATCCTCCCTTTTCAAATCGTTTGCGGCTTGCAGACGCGTCCTCCTCCTCCTCCTCCCCGCCGGCTCTCCTCAGCCTCTCCCTCATCTCGGCCCGTGTGGCATTGCGGTATAACCGGAGCCCCGAGCAGGCCGCAGGTTCTCGAGCCGTCCCAAAGAAAGCGGCCAACGATCGCTTGCTGTTTTGCGCTCCGTGCAGCAGAGGTGACATATGCGTGCTCCCGGTCATGAGGAAAGGCGTCCCGACTTGTGCGCTCCCTACCTGGCGACCTCACAGCTCATCATCATCATCATCATCATCATCAACATCCTACAGGAGGAAACAGCAGTAAAGGGATGAGGAGATGATACCGGTCCGTCCGGGAAGCAGAGGCTAATTATTGCGACTTAGAGATGAGGAGAAATATCTAAGCATAGATTTGCTAACTGTCTTAAAATAGCAGCCAGGTGGATCAGACGATAAATCGGAAAAAAAAAAAAAAAAACTTAATTTATGAGCTTTTGCTATGGTCCACCAAGACCCCATCTTTTTCCTCCGCTTCTTTCCTCCCTGCAGTCACGCGGGCATCCCGTACAGTCCGTGTGTTAGTGTGAGCGTCTCTCTCTCTCTCTGTGTGTGTATGTGTGTGTGTGAGTGTGTTTACCTCTCTGCTTCCCACCAAGCCTCACACAGCCGTCACTTTTAGATCACGCGCACGTACCGTATCACTCTATCCATGTTCATCTTGATTAACCCGAATTTGTTCTCTCTGCATCCCTCTTCCGACACTTGGGTGAATAATAGTGTTTGCAAACCGAAAAGCTGCTCCGCATGCGTGATGACATGGCACGCCGAACGTGCAGACAGCTCGGGAGATGCGGCAGCTCGCGCGAGCACGGTCATAAAGGTGGTGCTAATGCTGGAGAGGAGGAGGAGGCGTGGGTGCCATGGCGACAGAATCCGGCACCTTCTGCAGTAAAAACGGAACGAGCAGCAGTTAGCCGGTCCTTCGTGAAAGACCTGTATTGCAGCCAACCCTTTAAGAGTTTAACATAATGTTTGCGATTTTCAGTACTTAAAAACAAAAAACAGAAAATACTGCATAAAAAATGTATTCTTTTTTTTTAAGATTCTTTCCTTAGAAATGTCTTTCAACTTTCTTCACAGGGAAAATGCGCACATTTTCTTTTACCAGCCTTTTTCTGTCTATTATTATTGAATATTTTTACCATCAACTTTGTCTATTACAATCTCAAATGTCCATTTTGATGAAATTTTATGTGACGGACCAACACAACGCCACACTGGCATCATTGTGACACGGAAAAGGATGCATTGTCCACAAAATTTTTTACAACTGAAATTCATCAATATCATTAGACTGGACGGAGACCCTTATTTTCCACATCAATTCCAAGTCTCGCCACATAATTTCAACTGAATTTAGGTCTGGATTTGATTCCAGCTCTGCCTGGGTATTCTCCTGCTGGTACAGTTTTTTGCAGTCTCCTTCTGGATTGAGCTGCAACAGCAAAGCCTGTTGGTAATATGTGGAAATATTCGCCTGCTGGAGAAAATGCATTGGCATTAAGTCCCTGTAGAAGGTAAGGTTGACAGCAACTGGATATAGAGAGATTCCTTAAGAAATCTCCAGGGCGCTCTGAACACTAGGTGCCAACACAATGACCTGGCGCACAATAGCAAGGATAACAAAGGAGGGCCTTCAAAAGCACTCAAATAGAGCATTGACTAAGATCCAATAGAACATCCCTGTAAAGACCAAAAAGAAAAAAAAAATGCTCTCACAGGTACTTATCCAGTCTGATTGAGAGCGAGTGAATCTGTGGAGAACAAAAGAAAATACCCCAAAACATGTGTAAAGTGTAGAGACATTTAGAGGAAGACTTGATGTAATTGCAATTAAAGGTATTTCCACAAAGTATTAAGAATGTGCAAATACTTAAAACTCTTAGTTAAATATTTGCTTTTTAACCCGTTCATGCATGAATTATGGTCCATTGTGTCAGGATTTTTTCTGATTTGTTTTGATTTTCTTAAGACATGAAAAAAAATAGGAAAAAATTTTTGTAAAAAAACAAAATAAAAAATTTATCGTTTTTTAGGTGGTTAATTGTAATTCTTTCCAAATACAAAGTTGTTATTTGAAAAATACATCAGCTGTATTGTTCTTTAGGGATTATCTGATGTCACAATAATTTTTTTTACCTCCAAAAGTCGTCTACAGTAGAAGGAAGGACCAGGTGGGTTGGCATGTTTTTTTTGTCTGTCGGCCATATTGGATTTAACAAAAAATATATTGCAGCTGATGACCAGCAGTTGATAGTGTATTTTATGATGCATTAGTGTCCAATTCAGTGGTCTCCGTGCATTTATAACATAAAAATCTACTAGAAGCACAGGAAAATAGCTTTTAGATAGCTGTCCACTGTAGTGACCACTAAGGGTTAAAAATATATTTATTAAACATTTCTACCACATTATCACTTTCTTTTATGGTTTATTTTGTTTAGCTTTCTTTTTTTAGAATAACAAAATGTAGAAAAAGTGAATGGTTGTAAACAATTTTGGAAGAAATTTCAAATGTGATTGAAAGTTCAATCACATTTAAGATCAAACAATAAACTATATTTTATACAATCTGTACGAGAAAGTAATCATGATTCATGAAGAAGCAATTAAAAACAATCACAACCAGGAGCACTTTCATAGTATTTGACTTTTATTAATAAAGAATCGGGTCTGTAAAGTCCGTTTACAATGGCAGATCCAAAACAATAAAAGTGTAACAAATATGACCAAAAAAACAAAACAAAACAAATCTGGTTTTCAAGAGCTCTGGTCTGTAAGCAGAAAACAAAGCTGCCATGATTAACACCTGCAGTGGGAGTGATTTTCAGCATTTGAAAAACTGCATGAGCAGGGAGACAGTCAACGTCAGATGAAGCTAATGTGCAGTAACGTCTAGGCACTTCAGATAAAAGGCAAGCCCATTTCAATCAATTCAGCGCGAGAGGCATGCATGCTCTGCTGCTTCCTCATCTCTCACATCCTGTCCTTTCACTTACTAACACCCATCCTTCCTCCGTCTCTTCCCTCGGCTTCTCAGATTGCACTTCTAGATCTCTGCTTGACGTCGTCTACATTCTTCATTCAGCTAGTAAATCAGGGCTTGTTTGACAAACGGCTTTTGTTTGGATTCCATTTGTGGGATTCATTATGATGGAGAGAGATTTAAAAAAATTCTCCAGGGGAGGGAAAACAGGACGTCATCAGGATCTTTAACATTTAATGACACACTCTTGTTGACTGCTAAATGGAGCAGAACACTTGTTCAGTCATCTACTTTTCAGGGAGTAAACAATGCCGACTTGGGAATCCTTAATATTTATTTTAAGATATTTATACAATGTATTCGCGTGGCAAATTTATAGAAAACAAATGTCAGAATGTCAAGTATTTCCTCGTTATCTCTGGGACTTCAATGACAAATTTAAGGCATTTTTCCTCCTCAGGTTGGAATGATTACACCCCACATTTTAAAACAAGAACAGGAGGCCTTGGTTTGAGCTTACTGTACTTTAACAAGTTTCTGGTATAATTCTGTCTGGATGTCACGAGCCTGATGTAGGCCTTCTGCAAACCAGATTTAATTTGTATTTGGGAAAACAGCCCTGCCCATCTGACCTAAAAGCCACGTTTCGATAAAATGAAACCGTTGTATGCACAGGGAAGTGTATGTATAGATCTCAAAATTGTATGTATATACATCTGTATGTGAATTCAAACTTCTTCACATAATTCTTGTTTTTAGAAATCATGAAAGTTGTTCAATGTTTTTTCTCTACCCCAAGAAAAAAAAAAAAGAATGATTTCAATAAATCATTGAAAGTCTAATGTACGCCCATTTATATGCATTATATATTCACGTAAACTCTGATGGGAAACTGAGCCAATAACTAAAGACATTTCTATTCTAATAACCTGCTCCAACATTTAAAATACCTAAACATATTTGACTGGAATTTTGGCACTTGGACTTAAACATGAAATGGTATAAAATCATTAAAAAAAAAAAGTCTTTGATCTGAAATGTTCTGATTTTCAGGAATTATCAAACTCCTGAAAGCTGCTACAGCATGTGCGCAGATGAAAAGAATGATAATATTACAACAGTGCCAGTGCAGGAATAATAAAGAGTGTGGCTATATGCTATAAAGAATTAGACTGGACACAGGGGACATGGAACATGTTGAGTTCAGGCGTTTGGACACTTTCAGCATGTTTTTGTGGCAACAATCAATCACAAAAAAAAAAGTCTCAGAATAATAAATTAATTTGGGCATGCTAAAATTCTTGTGGACTAAACAACGGTTTGGATATAAAAACAAACTCTCAGCACTTGAAGGTATTGGACCAGTTTTGGCCAGCAGATGGAGACAGAAAGCCTTTGCATTTTTCTACGGCGCTCTTAAATGTCTGTGACATACATATGTCACTTCTAGAGAATGGCACACTTTGAGGGGGGTTTCTCTGTACTGCTGGTGATTTTCACCTCTTTTCCCGCCGAACCCTGTTCACCAACGACAAAAGCGGCTAAACGTCACAAACATGTTCTCTTACTTTTTCTTAGGAAATACATTTATAACAAAAAAAAAAAAAACAAAAACGAACGGACATACCGGCTTCTTGGTGGATTTATACAGTATGTCTCTTGCCAAAGCTAGAAAAGACTGCATAGCAGACAGATTGGAACACAGAAGCAGAGGAAATAAGATTAAACCTTTGCAGCACATTAACAGCGTTTACACAAAACAAGCCCAAAAGTTCAGTGAGGTGTGCAGTCGTGGTGGATTCATTGTGACTCACCTCTTCCACATTAATGCTGGACTTTGCACTGGTCTCGAAGAACCTGATACCGTGATCCTTTGCCAGCTGTTGACATTAGAGTAAAGAATATGACTCACAACCACATCCTGGTTCTTATCTAAAAGCAACTTTAAAGATAGGTCAACATTTCTTTACATACAGTGTGCTCGACATTCTTAGTCTGGTACCATTTTTTTTGGTACAAAATACCGACAATGTATCATCTTTCTGTCACTTATGCATGTTACTTTGTGTCACATACAATCACAACACAAAACAAATGCTTTAAGAGTTGAAATAGGCATACAAAGCTAGCCTAAGCATCAAAATTTATATAGTAGGCATTAATTACAGTCACATCGGTTTCCTCACCTTCTCTCCCGTCTCCTTGGACACTTTCCGCTTCGGCTCAATGTCGCATTTATTTCCTATAAGCATCTGACTGACCCCAGCAGATGCATTCTGTGAAACAGGGGACGTAGTTATCCGATTAGAGGAGGTCAGCTGAAAATAAGCATTAATCATCACTGCTAGAGTGATGGGATTTAACATCAGATATCTGCTGCAGAGTAAACTCGGAGCATGCTCGGTTCTCCTGTTCAATGCCAGCTGTAGAGTTATTCTTTTTTATGAAAGACAAATGCATCATTTTAATCCAAACAAGCAACACTGTTGGTTGTTGTAACCAATAACTTTTATTGCAACTTCATAAATCAACATGACTTGTTTCCTAACTGTTTGGACAATCTTTTGTTTGACTCCGGTATTAAATTTTGTGGTGAGGGTGGAGGACAGAGTCTCTGCTGATAGTGGAGCACTCGCACTGCGTTGTTGTGCAAGTGAATGCCCTTTAAATCTTTCTGAGGTTTCTTTAGCAACAAAGCAAGACTTTTGATTTCAGCTTTCTTCAATTTTGATAGTAAGCCGCCCCAGATAGTTTTTGCTCCGTCTTCTCAGTTGAGGTCAACCCCCATCCCAGTTACCGCCACCTTTTCACTTGCTTTGAAAAAACGATTAACTTTCAAGTGAACTGTGGTAGCTGCTCAGAGAAGCTACTTTAAGTTGACTATTGTGACAAGATTTGAAGCTTCAGTCAGAAACTGCAAGCAAGTATCAGCTTTACCAAGCAAATTAAAGAGATAGTTCAGGTTGTTTTTGGAAGATTGTTTCTGTTTTTGTGTTTTAAGCAGTAAACATTTTGTCTGGAATAACTCTCCTTCAAATTTACAGAGTGTGAAAAAAAATCAGAGATATAAATATATTCGCAAAGCATTGTAGCTTAACACTGAAATGTTTTTCATACATACGTATTGTATAGCACATAGTTCGTCTGGTCAGATATTATTCAATATATGCTCTGTTTTTAGTGCTCGCTTTAAATAGGATGGTCATTGTTACTGCCTACAGACCAACCATTTCTTCTATGTAAAGAGAATAAACTGCTATAAATGCTTTGGAACTGGACTTTAACATGAAAATGTTTGATTTATTTTGGCCTCAGTGTCATATCAAGTCAGAGTATTTTTTAAGTATCATCTTTAACTATAACACTCTTCTTGCAACCTCCTGTTGTTTTCCCATTCTAAATTTTGTAATGAAAAATATAGGAATTATTACCCTACACTTGACTAAAAATATATTATTTGTAGTAGCAGAGGTTTTCTGTGCAGAAGTTAAAACTTAATTTTCAATAAAGCTATTTTGTTCTGAATTTACTTCCCTATTTTTTACTACAATTTGGCCCTGAACTAGAATCTCATACGCAATCAAAACAGGAGTTATTAATGTGAGAGCACAATGCACTTTTCTCTGTATTTTTGAAGGTTTTGAAAGTCTGTTTTCCTGTCATAATGAATCAGAATAATTTTTAATAATAAAAAGTTATCAAGGAGCAACAGTTGCAATATTCAGTCTCATGGAAATGGAAACAGTCTCACTTCCTTGATGCTCTTCATCCAGTTTTGGATGTTTTCAAAGGATTTCTCATCAGTGATGTCGTAAACCAAGATGATGCCCTGGCAGAAGAGTGACAACTTAAGTGTTCAGTCACAACATACAAAGTGAGCACAAAGAGAAGACATGCAACATGTTATCCATCCTGCAGCTTCTACGGGTGTGCAGTCCTCACCATGGCTCCCCTGTAGTAGGCAGTAGTGATGGTCTTGAACCTCTCCTGTCCTGCTGTGTCCCTGCACCAATAAGTCAAAGCATTTCAAGCCAGAAACATACAGTGATGCATGTGCAGGACTCATAGAAATATATATATTTATTTAAAAGGTTGCATTTAAAGTGAATTGTACATCTTAAAAAATATATTTTATTGATTTCAACACATCACAAAACAAAGAACCACCTCAGTGACACGTCTTACCAGACTTGTAGTTTCACTTTCTTTCCATCCACTTCAATTGTTTTTACTTTAAAGTCAATGCCTGGGAGATAAAGAAAAAGAGGACAGGAAAAGGCAAAATGAGCAAAATACCCCTGATAGGAAGTCAAGCATACACACACTGCACGCAGTATTGGTAAGGTGGAAACTGGTCATTTCCACCGTGTGCACTCCCATCCACAAGCAAGCATGAATTGTTTTTTTCCTTTGAGGATGGACAAGCTGACAGACAGCAGGGAGGGGGCTGTCCAGCACTAAACTCTGCATGCCAGAAAGCCAGCAGCTCTTTTGGGAATGCAGAGATGGTAAGAGAGATAGGAATGAGGGTGGGTGGACCTTCAGAGAGAGCAATGAGATCAGTAAAGGGAGAGATAGGATGGGGGGGGGGGAGTCAGGACAGAGACTGTTATTAAATAAGAACATGAAAAAAAGTAGTGCAACAGAATAAACCCTGTAGTTTAAGTCTGTATTTAAAAGTAATCTTAAACTAATTAGTTCCATTACAGTACTTTATAAGTTTCATTGAAGCTACTAGAAACTTATTGGTCTTCCTAAATTAAAGTTAGATGAAAATACCTGGTAGGTTCCATGAGAGTTAAGTTCCCTAGAAGTTTAATGAATGCACCTGGTGAATGGCATTAAAATTTCCATTTATAAAAAAACATGGCAAGTCCTTTTAAAGTTTTGATTTGTTCAACAACAGTTCTGTAAACTACCCTGTAAAATCCATGAAGGTAGCTTGTAAGTTTTATGAAAAATATTTATTAAGTTTCTTGTCAGTACCTGGTAATTCAACAAAGTTCCTGCTAAAGAAGGTTCCATGAAAGTGACTGGAAAGTTGTCAGTGCTCACTTAACACTACAGAATGATTCAATGCAAGTACCTGATGAGTTCCTTGAAAACCCTGTTAAGGTTCCAGGTAGGTTTCATGCAACCACCAAGTAGGTTTCAGGAAAGTTCAATGAAACCAACTGGGTAAGTTCTGTGAAAGTTTAATGACAGTATCTAGCAAGTTTCATGGATGATACAGATTACCTGGAAAGGTACTTATGTTCCAGGTTCCAGAAAAGGCACCAGGTATGAAGGTACAGAGTAAATTCTATGTGATACAGCTCGAGGAAAGTTCAACTAAAGTGCCAAGTAAAACCAGGGAACCTGCAAAGTTGAAAGAAGTTTTATGAATGCTGCTCATACATTTCAAGGTTCCAAGAAGTTCCATGAAACCACATCAGATCCAGGAAAGTTCCATCGAACCCTGAGCAAGTTCTGGAAAGTAACACCAACAGATCTAAACTCTAAGCTCAGATATGGGATGCATCATGCAGTGGTATAAAAAAAAAAAAAAAAAAAGCTCAGAAAAAAAGAAAAGGAAGATATGAGAAAGAAAGTGGAGACTAGTTGAGACATGAAAGTAGTCTCAGAAACCAGTTTGCACAGTGTTCGGAATCAAACAACGGATCATGAAATGTCAGCAAACATTTATTCAGCTCATAACTCAAGTTTCAGAGCGCTGACGCAGACAGGCTGCAGTTAAATAAACATTATTCTCACGTACCGATGGTGGAGATGTATGTGGAGTTGAAATTGTCCTCAGCAAAACGGATGATGAGGCATGTTTTACCCACTCCGCTGTCCCCGATCAACAGCAGTTTAAAGAGGAAATCGTATTTTTTCGCCATGGCTGGAGCCCAGATAGAAGGAAGAGGAGGAGGGGAAGATTTAAGCAGTCTCTTTTAAAAAAAAAAAGTTTAAAAACTTCCCTTTTTTGTTCTTTGAGATATGCCAGTCTTCTTTTCTCGTTTTCCCCCTCCCAGCCTGTTAACCGGTAAATTCCGATCCCCCTCAGTGCCTCGGTGCTTAGTTTGGACTGGGCGACAACAAACTCCATCCAAAGTTTACAATGCAAGTTTAAGGTCAAACCTTCATCGCCTGAGCTGTTAAAACTCCATTCTTCTGCACTAAAAGTATCCAAATCCCACCGTTTACAAACACATTGGAAACGCTACGTGGTTTTCAGGCTGTAGGGGAAGAAAAAAAAAAAAAAAAAAAAACTCGGCCCAAATTCCACTTTGGCTGGGAGAATTACGTAGAGTGGGAGTGATTTATGGGAGTGACCAACTTTTACTGACCGGACGTTAGATGGCGCCACTTGAATAGAAGCTCTGTTTATTCCTGGAATAACAAGGCAGATAAAAAAAAAAAAAAACGTTACAAGTTTCACACTTCAAGGTTTTCCAGTCAAAGATAAACCATTAGAAACATTAAATTGTGTCACAAAAGTCATTTTTAACATTGCGTGCAATGGTGATAAGATATGTCCAATTGTCCACTGACAACATTGATATTGTATCCTAATTTTTTCATGAGAGTTTACTGCCCAGGTCTAACAGCAAAACTTTAATGTAAAGCTTAGTAATAATTTAGGCTGTTACATAGATAGCGGTAGGTTTACGTCTTGAGATTGTAACAGCGGCACAAGATACCAAAAAACGACAATTTAGTTCTGCCTGCATGGAAAATTTCAAGAAAGACTTTCCCCAGATGGAATCATAGAGAATGTAAGGACACAAACATAAATAAACTAATACAAAAAGGAAATGTAAAAACAACAACAACAACAACAACAAAAAAAAACCTAACAAGGCTTGTGGGCAGAAACATCATATCAAAGTACTTAATTTTATTTTCCTGAAGACAAGAAAATACTTATTCTGCAGAAACCTATTTTTCCAGGACTCATAAAACTTGTGTTATACAGCCTTTATATTCACTGGAATGCGCCCCTTCCTATTTGTGTCCATAAGGCCATAAAATAATTCATATGTGACAGAATCATGGCTTATACATCTGAAGAACACAATAACATAGCGCCCCCTGCAGGTAACAAGAACCGAGTCACTTTCTGCTAAAACCTTGTTTTTATTTTACACGTGAATTATATTTATTTTACGAAATGAAATAAATCAAGATTGATGAAGAATAATTCTTTTTCTTTCCTCCTTAATACTATACTTAATATAGCTTATTTTTTAAATTGCAAAATATTTTTTTCTGTCGCTTTTTTTTCAGGGAAATCTTACTAGATTGAAAAAAATAACGTTCGTTACGTAGGTTATTATTAACATTAATGTTGCCAATTTTCTACACCTATTTGATTTTTTTTTAAAAATGTTACATTGACTATAATGATGTTTTCTTCTTCCTCCCATCAGCCAGCAGTTTCCGGTACGTGACCGACGTGAGTTTTTCTCTTTTCTTTTCTGCGGAGAGTCTTTGCTGGAAACACGCAGACATGCCCGTAAGTAAAAATACCGTTTGTAAAGTTATTATCATGATATAAAGAGTAGGCTTACCCTGTAAGAAGTCGGTACTGGAGTTGACATTTGTGTTTTTTCGTGATTTGGTTAGTTGTTTGGTGTTGCTTTAATGTAAATGTGGAAATGTGAAGCAAGGCAATATGGCGAGAACACGTGTCGGAGGGAGAAACAACGCGATCGGTTAAAACACGTCTAAAAGCCTTCTTCAATTCCCTTTAAGTCAAATTTAGGTAGAAAAGGGTTAAACTGGTTCTGTAGTTTAATACTAAAGCCCAACCATGGTTTGTCTATTCAAATATATATAATTTTAAAAACATATGTTTTCATATTTTAGAAATAAAATCTGATATAGCTATCATATGTCCAAAAATGTCCAAAAATATGTCCAAAAATGTACATTTATTTACTGCTGTAACCTTTATTTATTTATCTCTCATGGTTCCTTAAAGTGAAACCTACATTCAGGTCACAGTCGTTGCCTTTGTGTAATCATGTTATAAAAGCTATTTCCTGTGCTTTTCAACTTGTTCTCAAATCATTTAAAAAAAATAACATGATTGCTGTTGCTTTTTAAGTCATTTTTTAAATGTGACTTTCTAATAAGTTATCCTGTCTTTTCTCCAGCTCGCAAAAGATTTGTTGCACCCCAGTCCTGAGGAGGAAAAGAGGAGACACAAGAAGAAACGGCTTGTGCAGAGTCCTAACTCCTACTTCATGGATGTCAAATGTCCAGGTTTGCGTTAATCTACTCGTTATAGTCAATAATCTGTAATCTAAAAGAAATGTATTTAATATTACAAGTACATTTTGCCTTTATGTGTTGCCCTTTCTCTAAACCTGTAGTGATCGGGGTGTCAAATAAGGCAGAAAGTGACTCTTGCGGTTGTTTGCGAGCGAGATTTCACTTGACTCGTTTACACAAACAGCTGCATGGACACCAGTAGTCGGCCATTACGTTCGTCACATAGCAGCAGCTCCCTCTTTCGTTTGGCTTAAGACCTCCATGATGTGTTTCTTACTGTTTTTTTTTTTTTTGTGTGCATTTTGCAGGTTGCTACAAGATCACCACAGTATTCAGCCACGCTCAGACAGTAGTGCTGTGTGTCGGCTGCTCCACAGTTCTTTGCCAGCCGACGGGAGGAAAAGCTCGCCTGACAGAAGGTAGAGACACCACCAGAAGCTCTGTTTCTGGAAAATCCCCTTCATGTTAAAGTCAACCATTTGATACTCACAGAAACGACAATGTTAAGTTTGGCAAGGTGTTTATTTCAGTTTCGCTTCATCGAATCGCCCGCACCTGTTTATTTAACTCCTCGCAGGTTGTTTCTGAAATTGTCGAGTGCTGTGCGTTCACAACAAAGCAGATTTTGTTCACGGTGTTTTTCAGAGGTTACTCTTGAGTTTGCTCTCGGTGATGAGTGGTGTAGATCATAAATTTGACACTGTGGTCTTGATATTTATTACAATGGCAATAAAAAAAAAAAAAAAAAGTATTGTTAGGAGAATTTCTTTTTTAAAGCCACGACGCTTCCAATAAGGAAGTAGTGCGTTTTACTCGTTGTCTTATCTTGCACCCCACAGGCGTCGCTCCGTTAACTTTAAATGCTGTGATTTAACACCATGACCTCAACACCATGTCAAATCAACCTTTTGACTTCCAAGCGAAGAATCGACTGGAATAATACACAGAAGCCACGTGCATTAAGTAATGTGTGTAATCCGAAGCTCAAACAGTTATTTCTCTAATCACGTAAATCCATCAGAGATGAGAGGATTTCAAAATCAAACGGCAGAAGCATTTAGTGACGCCCTATTACACAGACTCGTACCTCTTCTTGCTTCTTTGCCTTTCTTTTGTTTGCCTGAGATGTAAAATGAAATTGTGACATTTTCTAAGGAATAAGTCATCTCTAACGTAGAGTTACTGAACTCCTTTTGTGAACGAAGTGACTCTTGAGGGCAGGTGGCTGCACTGGATTTGTATGTATGGGTTAAACAGTAAAAGTAGGTAAACACCAGGGATTTATGCCTCACTTTTTAGATCTTTTTTTATTAGAAAAATTAAGATTATCCTCCTCCGTTTGTTGCTCTGTGACATAAAATCCCAGTGAAACACATTGATTTTGTGGTTGTAGCCTGACGGAACATTGAAACGCTGGCGCATGAATACTTTTGTGAAGCACTCTGTGTCTACCTGACCCGTGTAGGCAGCAGAGGCTTTACATCTAAACATAGTACAGTAAACATTTTTCAGGTTGCGTCGTGGTTAACTTTCCCACCTTTGCCTTTGTGTTGCCCTTTCATGATGTTCTCCGTGAACAGGGTGTCTATCGAGGCAAACAGTAACTGTCGGTGCTTGGTGTGAGGAATTCATCACTATTGATCCATTTCTGCACAATCAACTGCAAGCACAAACAAATGACTCCTGTTTTCATTCTGCCGTAGCTTTAAGCTCACTACTGATTAGTTTATTTTGTGTGTGTGTGTGTGTGGGGAGGGGGAGTGGATTAACTGTTGCACGACTCTTGAGCCTCTAGAAGAAGTGATGACTTTTAGTGAATGAGCCGATCCGAAGGTCGAGGTTTGTTTTTATCGGCGCTCTCTCCCGCTCTGTCGTGCGTTCTGCTGCCCTGGTAACCAACAGCCTCTTTCTGATCTGCATGGGTGCAGCCTCAACCTTTGACTCTAGACTCATGCTTGTTTTGTAGTTATTCAGTCTATAAAAAGCAGATCATCACAGCTAGTACCTGTTGTGACTCACTTTGACTGGGTTTTTAAACATTTTTTTCTACATACTTCTTTTACCCTTATGTAACTACGGCTCTTTGTTTGAAACTGAAATGGATTATTTGACTAATTTCCTCCCCTTTCCGTTTCATCCAGGATGCTCTTTCAGGAGAAAACAGCACTAGTGTAACCAAACCTGGCTGCACATGTGAGAAGGAGAACTTGATGGACGTCAGGTGACGCTGCCAAAGATGCAACGTGGGGGAAAAAAAGGAAAGGAGACGACAGGAATGAATCATGTGAAGCAGTTAGTGTAAAAGAAGTAACTGGCCCGGCTGGAATCCCTCAAACACCTAATATCTTCTAATTGTTCTCTCTAAATAAACCTGGGATTCACAAGTTGAAATGATTTCACGTTTGTCATCCAGTTTGTTGCTTTTTATCTTTTGACGGGTTTTGAGCCCCACTGTCAGCTTACCACATTCTCATGAAGAGGAATCCTGTTAATTTGTAGTTGTGGGTCTGAATTTACCGCTTTAAGCCACACATTCGTGGGAAATTGATCTTTAGTAATGAGACTTGGCTACCCAGCAAAATGGATTCCTGCAGAATCTTGTTCGAAAACACTAAAGCTGTTTTTAAGAAATGGAGAGTCTACAGATTATCTTTGCTGCAGTTTTATGTAACAGCCTTGAGCATTAATATCTCAACGCTGTCGTCACTCTTGAGGGTTGATTATGGGGAAAGCCTTGCTTTGTGAAACGCGGCGCCCCCAGGTGATATGTTAAATAAAAATGAGGAGTGTAGCTGTAGGTTTGAGCCTTCAACTTCCTGTGGAAATTAAGGGAATTGAGTTCAGAAGGAATGTGAATATTTGAAGCACCTTTCTGGAATTATTCAATGATAACTTCATTGTTGCCTATGCCTATTTGTTTGTGTTGTGTCGACACAACTTGTTAATAAAATCATGGGAAAGGTGACTGGTGTTCTTTATTGAGTGAATAACAGGATTTGTTTCAAATACATTTGCCAACATCCACTCATCTTTTGCCTAACTGTCCATCTAACAAATTGCTGTCAAGTACATTTAATAATCATAGAAGGTGTAGTAGATAAGTACAAGTGCATCAGCTATTTAAAAACTATATTTCAGTAATTCAATTAAAAAGGGAAACTATATAGTATGCAGATTTATTTACTTAGTAACATTTCAAAAAGCCAAACTTTAGGTGCTTGTAACGGTTAAAAATTGTATAAGATCAAAAATAAGGAGTTATAAACTTAGATGTTACCTCCACAATCATTGCAAAAACTGATGCTAATATGGAAAGTTGGAAAAGTAATGGTATAAAAGGAAAATGAGAGTAAGAGTTTGGACATTATGATGCCTTTGCTGATTTTTATGACATTTCAATCATCTTTTTAGTTAGATAATTGTAGTGACCACAGTAGTTTTCAGTTTTGCATCATGTTAAATTTAAAAACAATGTCAATGTATATGTTTCTCCAATTGTTCAGTTGCTTAATTTTTTTTTTCTGTCAGGGATGTTGAGGTAGAGCTTTGTGAATATTTAACATGTAACTTCAGTTTATTTCAGGACATAACATTTCTTGCACTTTGATGACAGTGAAATGTTCTCTTGCTTCTCAAACGAAAGCATAAACAAATTCCTTGATGTTTGCAGTTCATTCAGAGCGCTTCAGTGTCAACATAAAGATAAGAGAACATTAAGGATTTAAAATACACCAATCACTCCAGCTGAGACTGTTAAGTATTGTATTGATTTTTGGACTATTTGAAGTTAGTTTGTTTGCCAGCTAATGTGTTTGAGTTATTGTTGAGGAACTTGATGAAATTGATTAATTTGATGAAACTGCCCAAAGAGACGGTTTTGCTTCAGTTGCTTTTACTATTCCTCAAGCTCCTGACATGATTTGGTTGTAAAAAAAAAAAAAAAATACATGTTCAGGAAACTGATCCCAGAGGATGAATGAGCAGATTTAATTCTCCAAACATCACATTGCATTAAAAAGAAATAAACTTTCTAGTCTCAGTTTGAGAGACGCTTTCTTGCTTCCTTCTCTGTGGATGCCTGCGAGACGCTGTGAGGTCTGAGCACATCGTCATCACATTGCAGGAGGCCTGATCTGGTCAGCGCTGACACCAGGCGGCCTTCAGGCACGGCAGCGTCTCCTGGACATCAGAGGAAGCTGACCCCAGACAGAGTCTCAGATGGAGGGTGCAGCTGAAGCAGCTGGCTCAACCTTTCCTGAGAACAGACTCAACATCTGTAGCCAGCTGGCGGCAGTGAAAGGCAGAGGGGACAGAATAATGAGATCTTCTCAAAAGCACAGATTAAAGAAGATGGTGATACTGCTAAGTACATAAATCTGTCACCAGAGGGCGCTAAACTGTAACGATTGCATCTCGATTTCTTATGAAGCCCATAGAAGACAAATAGGCCAAATAAACATGGAATCGCTTTGTTTTTGTTCTCATTAAGTTTGAAATGTATGTGCTTTTGTTTTTTATTGTTGAGTAAAAATATTTATTGATATTATAATTTACCCCTGAATGCAATTTGTATTGGTGACATTTATGTTGCATTGTGTTTTCTGGTCGTTCAGCAGAGCAAGCTGGTGGTGAGAATCTGAAGTCGTGTGTGCCAGGCTCTGTGTGTGTTGGAAGCCGAGGAGAAAATGGAATGAAAGGATCAATAGTGAAGGGCAGAGAAATCTGAAAAAGCGAGGATTGAGGTTTTTTTTTTTTTTTTTTTTGTCAGTGCTGAGGCAAGCTGCACGCATTCTTCTCCCTGAATCAAATCTAGCAAAATGGAAAAGGTTAAAATCAAAATTTGTTATGAAAGAGAGCTATTGAGAGAGAAAAATCAAGAAGCAGAAATGACAAGGCCGTACGAAATGATGTAGAACATAGGTTCTTTGAGTGCAGCAAGAATTGATCAAGGTTAGAGCTAAATAGCTCCCCTCCGACTGAGTCCAACCGGGCAAACTCCCACGCTGAGTGGGGGGTAAACCCTGTATAGAACCACAGTGAACAGTGATTTCATCTGAGCGCACAGTTTGAGCCTCCTCTCACCAAGGACAGAGTCATTATACATTATAAATAACTGTGGTAAATGCTGGTGGGGGGAGTCTGGCTGCCCCCCCCTACCCCCGACAGACCTCCATTATATCACAGAAGAGACGCCTGTCAGCTTCGTCCAGAGGAGGAAGACGTCTTCTGTCACAAGAAGTTATTTATTTGTTGAATTTATTTATTACAATATTAGAACAAATTTATTTTCTCGTAGCTTGAGACTACTTCTGCCAGTAGTAATGATAAAATCATGTGTGCAAGAATGGAAACTGGTCATGTTTCTTTTAATCAAAATGTTCAGGGGCGATAATAATTATGGCAGTGGGAATTTAAAAAGAACATTTAAGATGTTTTTTCTACTCAAATTAACGGCTGGAGTTTTCTACTTTTTAGTGTGATGGTGTACATTTATTTGAAAGCTTTTCATACATCCTCACAATGTATTTGGAGGTTGCTGTATAATGATTTAGATGCTTGAAACAACACATTTTTGCAGTAGTGAAAACAAAATACCAGCGTTTCAAATTCAGAATGGAAGTCCCTGAGCAAATGAGCAGCTTAAATTTAATATAGAGTGAAAAAGCTTTTATTTACCACTTGATCTTTTTTTGTTTTGTTGTTGTTTTGTTTAAAAAGAAAAGATGGATGATCAGTTTGACTGTCTATCAAATATATTCTTCATTTATTCTAATTCTTTGCTTACATGTTTTGAAAACAGCACAATACTTAGAAAATGTATTATCTTCAGTTATCATTAGCATCCACAGGGTGAAAAGATGCTTTTAACCGTAACCATAACAAAGAAAACAGAAATCCCCGACTGTCACACAGCACAACATGGAGGTTGAAGACAGCTAGACAGAAAATAGATGGACAAGTACAAGTAGAAAAAGAGAAGGCAAGCATGATGAAACATATGTGTAAGAATAAGGCTGCAGAAGGTGAAACTAGTCACAGAGCCCTGGGAGGAGTACATTCTGCTGAATATAATCTTACAAAGTAGCTGTCCCTTTTGCTCCAACATCACACAGCTGATAAATTAATAAACATAAGCTTAACAAGACCCCCCTCCCCAACCCACACACACACAGACACACACACCCTTTTTGCTGGACTGAGGGTCACCGTGATGGATGCTTCCCATGAACTGCAGTGAGCATTAAAAGTCAGGTGACCCGGCGAACACAATCAGTCATGTCAGATTGCCAGAGCCTGAAATTAATCATTCCCATCTGTGGCCATTTCCTGCATTAATTATTCTGACTATGTGGCTTAAATAGCCTGGACGCTGCGAATGTCTCTGGGCACGAGGGGACGTTTATGAGGAGATGTTTGAAGAGTCAGAAAGATCTGGGGTGGTCAAACTTTTACATCCCTGGTCACAGAGTAGCAGATGTAGCGCTTCACACCATGTGAACCTTTTCTCATTTTTAGGCAACACTTCAGTTCTTGTCAGAGTAAGCAGGAAATGGGCTTAGCATAAAGGAATGACAGTAAGTTTTGAGGAAGATGATAAATGGTGAGGCTGCACACATAGACAAGCAAGGCGCAGTCAATGGACAGACAGATTGACAATGAATGGTTTCCAAAACAACAATTTTCATGTGCTAAGACATTCGTCTTGATAGATTAAGGGCATTACTTTATTGATTTAATGTGCTCCACTGTAGCTCAGACAGCACGTTTAGAGTCATTGTCCTGCTGGAAACTGAACCTCCGCCCCAGTCTCAAATGTTTTGCAACCCTTATTAGATTTCCTTTCAACATTAGCCAGAGTTTAACCCCATCCATCTATCGATGGATGGAAAAAGCATCTCAACAGCATGATGCAGCCATCACAGTGCTTCGAAATAGGGATGACGCGTTCTAGGTACTGTTTATATTCATCAAATGTAGGATGTTCTGCAACACTTGTTTTTTTTTTTATATCTATGTCTAAAAGCTAGAATTTGGTCTGACCTGGTCAGAGAACCTTCCTCCATAGGTGTGCTGTTTCCCTAAGGTGCTGGTGAAGAACAATTAAAGGGACTTCTTCTGTTTCTTTCAGTTGATTTCTTCTTGCAACTCTGTATTTATATCTACATTTGTGGGATACATGGCAATTAGCATTACCAATAAATTCTTCCAGAGAGATGGATCTCCCTCAGAGTTGCCACTGGGTTGCTCAGTGGGTTCTGGGAGATGGCCATGTCTTGATAGTCTTGCATCTGTGCCATACTCTGTTGTATTAAACATTTACTCATGAAATGTTCAAAGCTTTAGACGTTATTTCTGTCCCTGCTGCAAATACTCTACAACTCTCTTCCTGACCTGTCTATTATGAGGCTGTTTGTCCAATAATGTTCTGTAATAATAAACCTCTGAGGCTTTCACTGAACAGAAGGCTTTTTATAGATTCATTAATTTTGATTAAATTACACCTATTTCCCATTAGGTTGCTTATTCAATCAGCGTGATTTTGCATTACATTCAAGATTTGCTCTTATTTTGTCATTTGTAAGCCTCACTTTTCAGATTTTATTTAATTACTTCCCAGTTACCTACTGCTTTGTGTTGATCTTTTGTCATGGAAGAAATTCTGGATGAGAAGAAATAAGAAATTTATTAAAACCTTGCAAGGTGAGAAGAGAAATACAGAGTCAAAGGAGTGTGCCAAGTCTGGATATGGCTTCATTCTATAGGTTCTGGTCAGAGAAGATAGACTTGATTGGACTATAGGTCCAATTGGACTATAGGTCCAATCAGGTGAATAAAAACAGCCTGTTCCTTCTACTGACTCAAAGTGTTTGAGCATCTTGTTTGCTTTATTATTGTAGGCAAACATGTCCTGGTGATTTGGGTTCTGGCAAAGAGCAACTTCTGAGATACAAAAAAAAATGACCA